TTGCATGTTGAATATCAGTGGACCTGAATACCACAATATCTCTCCACTATTCAACTGCCAGACATATGCCCTGAAAAACAACAGTAGAAACTTGCCAGCTTATCTATTGGGTGCTGTAACATTGTGTTATAGACTATAGTTTTGGCATTTTAATTGAGATGTTTGCAAGAAGGAGCTTGTCATATCGACGATATCAAACATCTAGTAGTTTTGGGCGGTGTCTAGAGACAAGAGTACACTGTTTATAAATATAAGTAACCAGCTAATAATGAGTAGCGAGTAATGCATGAAAAGTTGATGAGAAATTAGTGAACAATTCTGTGAGTTTATGAGTTCAATGTCAGAAAAACTGTTCACAGTTCAATGTTAAAAGTAGAAGATATCAGTCTATTAGCAAAAACATTCTGTAAACTTATTTATAAGTTAAGCATACTTACCGCAGTTTCGAAATTTCTGTTTAAACATTGTTTGTGCAATTTTGCTTACAACTATAAGTAAAAGTAGTCTGTTGCAAACGTTCAGGAAGAAATCAACTCATTTGTTATATTTACATGGACTGGATTTCACATCACCTTTACTAGATAATCCAAAATAATCCACCCAACAAAAGAACAAGTTCCAAAGTGTCAAAGGGAAACACTAACCTTTGTGAGAGTAAATAAATATGTTTAATGTTTGAATGCTTATTTTATTTTCTTGCCATTTGTGTTTACTTTTTCCGTCAGCAAGCATTTTATTTTTAGTATCATACATTATGGACTTTCAACTTATCTTTTGGATACTCTTTTACCTTTACATCCACAAATAGAATAAATCAAACACGACAGCAAAGAAGATATTAATATTAATAAAAATACAAGCTTTATTGATTCGTGACATAAAAAATAAACATAATAACCTACTATCTTTATCAGCTGACGTTTTAGTTTTCGTACTACTTGCTGAAGTTAGGTAAAACGCATCTTTGTTAGAAACTAGTGGAAAGATGGATTTTATGCAATGTTCCATATCTAGTGTGGCAGGCCCAGTCTTACGCTACTTAAGTTATAGGCCGTACTTTAGCATATATATAAAGAAAAATAATCCTCTTGCTCATATTGACAAACGCGGACTAATGTACCAACCCAACTTTTTGTCATACGCCGCATGCTAATTGAAGTAATTTGTGTATAGAAGCACATTATGCTAATATAATAATAAATTGGTAAACAACGATTTATAAGCATAATAAAGCGGTTTACTTTTAGTGGAATATACTATGTGTTTCGCCATAACATTGGTCTGTCTTCTTCAGGTATGATCTCGAGCTAAGCATATATGGTTTATATACACGTACAAAGACAAAAGACACAAGGGTTTAACGTTAAGAAATGTTGTAACTTAATGACAGGATTATAGATAAAGGTCAAACTAGACAAATATGTGAGCGAAAATTAGGCGAATAAATTTAGCAAATTCCGCTGATGTTGCTAGTAGAAGGCTTCATTCCTGGACATTTTTTCATTCTCACGAACCGGGAAATGTTTTCGGTTACTCTCGGGATACCGGGAATTCCCGGTGAAGGTTCTTTTAAATATTTTTTAAAACTATATTTTCAAAGTGGTGATTAAAATCATATGTGGTCTAAATCCACTCTAAATAAAATATTGAAAAAAAACTGTATTTTCATTTTATAACATAAAAAATACGAACAATTTTAATCAAAATTATTTTTTTGTTATTTTCCAAAAATAGCATTTGAGGAAGCATAAGGCATTAAGAACTTTATCTTTGAGAGATGATTGCTGCTTAATTTACGTTTCCTGATATTGGAAACACTCGCTCACTTTCTGTTGAAGTCGGTTTGATTGTTTTTAATTCACCTTTGAGTTTCTGCAAATTAACTGTTAGCTTTCCAGTGAACTTATACATTCCAATTTCCTTGTTTAAAATTTTATTGTAATCCGAAGCCAAGGCCTTAGTTTTCATGGTAGCATTTATCTGATTTTGCAGTTGCTGAGATAATGAGAGATCACTATCAGATTTGTCTTCAACATTTTTTCATTTTTCTTCACTCAAATTAATTTGAAGTTTTTTAAATTAATTAATTAATTTGAACAAAATATTTTTTGCCAACTTTGTAATTTCAGATTTAGAAGATACAACAACAAAGTCGGCTTTTTTGTCCATTTCAGATTTTTCGGATTCTACAGAAAATTAATCAACGATATAAGTTTTTGATTATTCTTTGTCCGATTCGTGCTTAAAGAGCAATTGTAAACTCTTTAGCCAGATTACCGTTCGTTTCTTCCAGCTTGTTGAAGAGGAATTTTAAAGTTCCCTTGGCTTCCAATAATGTTGCATTTCTTTTCTCAAGAGCCACTACAATAATTTTTATTAGTTGTAGTATTGATAGCAGTTCATACAGCTTAATTGTGTCTCCCTCAATCCACAAACTGGATAATTTCAAATATTTCAGTGCAGCAATTATACAATATCTAATACGTAAAAAAATGTTCGATCATTGATTCGATGATGTTCCACCTTCTTTTGCAATCTAACAGTAGCTTCAATTTTTTTATGAGCAGATTTCACATACTTTTGGAGAACTGAATTTCAGACTGGAGAGTTTCTTAAAATCTTTACAATTTTTCGCACTTTCTTCAACAAAACTGAAAATTTTCTTTCAACTTAGGCAATTCCTTGGTAGGTTTATCAGCATATTCTCTCTCACTATCTGCTTCAGCAGCTTTACAGTCGTCACAGACTCGCTTTCACCATCATCCTCATAAAGCTTGTCTTCACCATCATCCTGACCTATGTCATCTTCATCTGATTCCGCCGAGCTGACGGATTTGAAAAAGACATCAACAACTGCTAAATGAATCGCATGATTTTAACATTTTTGATGGATGAACTTTGTTAACTGACGCAATTTTTCATTCATAGATGCATTATCAGTTGTTGAACTAATCAAACCTTCCTCTGGAACGACTCCAAATTTCTATATTTTTCCTGTTACTATTTCAACTGTATTTTCAGCTGTACACTGAAAATTTACAGTGCAAACTTAACCCTTTCACCACCAACTATTTTTAAAAACCACGTCTGGTATGTCATGCCATCGACATTGTTTTTGCTCTTTGCTAAATTTTATGGTGGTTCTCTTTAAAGAACAACATCTCAACAACCGCTCAGTCAAACTCCATAATACTGTTTTGTAATTGTTTGAATATGATTCTGTGAGGGGATTTATTAAATTTATTTTTCCAACTTTTGTTCTTGTCATTTCTATCCCATATCATTTTTAAAACCTAAAGTAGGAAATATATTTTAAGCTTGTTTTATGTTAAACGGTGAAAACAATCATATACATCTAAAAGATAATAATTAAAAAGGTAATTGCCTTGAGTTCTAAAATCAACCCATTAGCAAAGTTTAAATCCTAACAAAATTTGGAAACAAAATTTAAGGAATTATGATCGGTCGTTGGGCAACGCCTCCTTTCTGTTTATCTAGATCTGGCTTGTGATCCTCTTCGTCTACGTTCAACTCCCCTTGAAACTCTTCTTCCCCGTCCTTTACCATGAATTTCTAACATCTAATTTGGCACCATCTCTAGCAAATTGTTCAAACTGTTTAATATCTACAGGCATAAAAGTAGTCACTACATGTTCCATTCCTCAATCATTAGATCTAGCAAAAACTCGATACCCACTTTTATCGTCTGACTCTCTACTGAATCAATTAATTTCTTCAGATTCTGAATAATCTTTAATAATTATTTACATTTCTTAAGCCCTCAGTGGCAGAGCGGTATGTATACTGACTTCCAATGCTAGAAACCGGATTTCGATACCTGTCGTGGGCAGAGCACAGATAGATCATTGTGTAGCTATGTGTTTAACTTCAAACGTATAACAGCAAACAATACTTTTCTTAATCTAAAGACGTAGAAGAAAGATGAGGGCAGCGACTTGAACTGCCTTCGCCATTAAAAAAAAAATCACATTCGTTTCAATTATTTTAATTTGGCGTCAAAATTTCCAATTCAAAAAATTTCCGTTGTTTAAAATTAAATACCGAGTTTTCATTCAAAGACCATTCTATTATTTATTATTTTATATTGGTATTTATATTTTTAAAATGATTAAACCCTAATAAAAATATCACACACATTAGCAATAATTTATTACTTTTAGAAGACAAATAAGTGGTAAAAAGTGCCCGAGAATTCTCGTAGAATTTCCCGGGATCCGGGAATGGAAATTTAATGAAAATTCCCGTGACATTTGTTTCGGAAAATCCCGAGAGAGATCCTTTAGTTGCTAGGGTCGTTATCATGGCTTAGTGGAAGATCGCCTGCTTTGATGTTTTTTATTGTTTCTAAACAATCTTTGTCTTTTTTAGTTTTGGGTTGGTGTAGGAGAAAACTGTTATTCTGAGATATATTTGACCTCATTTAAATTGATGCCATGTCCGAAACTCACCTCTACGCACACGACCTTGGTGTTTTTTGCATCTTATTTCTTATATATCTCTTACCACATTCACATGGAATACTATATATGCCTTGCTTTTGTTTCTTCAGTACAGGTTATTTCGAGTTAGGCAGTAACGATGTTTCTTTCGTTGTTGCTAAGCGTAAAACTACACAATGGGCTATCTGTGCTCTGCCCACCGCGGGTATCGAAAACTCATTTTCAGCGTTACAATCCTTCAGACTTATGCTGAACCATTGTGGTGGTACCTTGTAACGAAAACAAATTAATTATTTAGTATATTTTCGAGAATATTATTTTAAAAAATTTGTTTAGATTTTCCAATAATAAAGCAGTAGTTGGAATGATGTTTCATTACTGTTTATAAGTCTTGTATTGTAATTTTAAACAAATCACGTAAACGGTAAAGCAAAATATAATATAACGATTTGGTACATATATATTATATAATTTTTCCACCTATCATATTTATATTTGTTAACAGGTGGCATCTAAGCTTAAACATAGTAGGCGGTTTGTTTAATATTTGTTAACGTTATTATACGTGCCAATAATTTGACTGGGTGAATAATAATTGTATTTCTTTGTATGATCTGTCAACTAGCTTGATCAATATATTCTAAAACAAGCTTGACTTCATTCAGAAAAAGCATGTTGACAGTTTCTTCGTGCTTTTCCTTGGATTGTTTTCTCCATTGTTTGCCACTGTTGTGGCTGATGAGTATGCCTTTATTTGCTGCAGTGTGGGGCAAATCTGTAGTGGTTCAACAATGTTTCATTACATTTGTATTAATTGCAAGCAGTTCTGCAGTTCCTCCTATTTTGGTGAGTCAGTTTACACACCCGTGTTTTACGTAATAAATATTTATGAGTCACTGTTATTACTATAGATGTATAGTAATATGAATAGACTTATGTAGTGTCGTAACATTAACAACAACTGAATAACATACCTTTTCCTGGGCTGGATGTGCCAGTAGACGCAAACGTGCCAAAATACAGTAACTGAAGTTAAGAATAAGTACTTGCGATGAAATACATGGCTCTGTATTCAGTATGTAATTTGTAAGTAACTGAGATTTACTTAGATTTTTTGAGTCCAAATATTATGGAATTGGAAACACTAACACTAATACTAACAGAAATTAAAAAGTTGACATAAAATTAAAAGTTATGCACTATGTCTTTTGTATTTATACCGATGTCTACACAAAGTCAAACGTCAGGGTAAAGGCCTTAACACAAGGCCTTGTTGGGAGTGAAAAACCAGCATTTGTGTTTATTTCAATGTAAATTGTAATATAACATAAAACTTATTTGTAAATGTTTTAATTGAATAACCTAGGGAATCAGTTTTTAGAAAAATTTCTAAAAATGTGATTTAAAATAATGTTTTTCAGTTTCAACTGCTTGTCTGTGGAACAGTGATGAGCCACTGGGAGATTTCAGCCAGTCATCAAGATAGTTAAAAACAAATCTATGTTTTAAAATATAGCTATTGAAGTATGTTGTTTTACAATGTAATGTAAAAAATACTTTAAAAACTTAATATTGTAAAAAGAGTCAGTGAAATTTTGAAATTGAAACTAGGTGGTCCTCGGATGGAAAACTTTCAGAACCTATGATTTAGGATACTAAGTTTTTCTCACTTTATCACAACACAAGAATTATTAGCATAAAGTAGGAATGGCTGCAATATTTCAGTGGGAAAATCCCCATCTCAAATTGCATTTTAAAAGAATATTTCTAAAAAGCATTCAATAATTGAAATATTCATTTAAAAAGGCTCATTACTTACAAGCTTGGTGTTATGTTACATTAGGAAGAGTGAGCACAAGTGTTAAACCCTCATATTTAATGTCAAAGTTTTGTTCTTTAGCTTTCATCCCATTGTTAGAGTAGGTGGCTCATGAAAATGCAGGAAATATGATTTTTTCACACAAACAGTGATGAGTCTGTGATCTATAAAAAAAAAAGTTGTGTTGTGGTATTTCAAAATAAAACTTGCAAACATTTGTTTAGCTTATTTGTGTTCTGTGGTTGTTAGTGTTTAATAAATACAGATTTAATAACAAAACAGCTGGTGAAAAAATATTCAATGAGTAAAAGAAAGCTGATTAACACAACTAGGCTCTGTCACTGTATGCAAATGCTGGGTAAACTGTATAGCTAGCTGTCATATGTGCATTTACCATACAACTTGCAACTGTTATGGTTAAAATACAAAACATAATGGAGATAAATGTTGTTTAAAACTGTCATTGATGTAGCAAATATAAGATGCCAAACTGATAGGTTTATACCACAAAGTCTTTGGTAGCTTAAAACACTAAATCCAAAAGAATGGCTTGTAAATAGTGTGTAGTCAATTTGTAACATGGTCTTTAAGGTCAATGAAATTCTACATGTATAATACGCATGTTAGTTTGAGTAAGTGTATTGGATGATGATCAGTTACTTTATTAAGTGCATTTATTTTATGATAGATATTTTAATATTTCACTAGATAACATCAAAACTATTGGTTAGAGTGTTTTAGATGCAACTTATTCTAAATCTTAATTTATATTTGTTATTGTTATTTACATTTTTTAAAATTGATTTTTAAAGTTTTGGCACTTCTGTTCAGAACTTGGTTGAATAAGTTATTAATTAAGTATCTCTAAATTTGACTTATGTCTTAATTATATAATGGAAGCCTATAGATTTGAAGAAGGATCTAGAAAGTTATTGTTTATCTGATTATTGACAAAATATGGCAAAATAATAGTAATTGTTTATATTAATGCAAACGTAGAAATATTCAATTGCTTTTTTTTGAGTCTCTACATCATCATTAGAAAAGCTTACTCTACTATGTTAATATATAAAAGTTAGATTTTTTTAACAAGAACAATGTTGGTAAACATCTTCGTTATTGATATTTTTATTTCATTTTTTCAGAGAAAATGGATACCTTGTGTAGATAGCTTTTTACTTGTGATGTTATTGAGTTGGCCATACCAGATTCTACCAAATTTTGTTATCTGGCTGACTTCACAGCTTTTTTGGTTGGTTGAACCTATTATCCAGGGAATAGAAGCTTTTACTTTAGTTACAGGAACATGCTTTCTTAGCCAAAAAGCTGTCGAGGTTATAGATTATCAACCAATGTTTGGCAAGGTAAGGCAACTGCTTATTTCATAGCATAGGAATATCAGCAAAAACAAGGTGTCAGACAGCCATTCATGTTATAAATGTTCACCACAATGATAAGTAGCTATAGTAGGAAATTCAAATTAAATGTAGCCTTCCACACCCATATGTATACAAAATACATCATCAGACAAACAAAAATTAAACCAATTATATGCTTCAATAAAGTTTGAGATGATCAAAAGATCTGATACAGTTTTCCTTTACTCTCTTAAATGAATATTTTTTTTAGCTAAACAAATGTGATAATTTTTATATTTATCATTACTTGTATGTATAGTTTACTCAGTACATATACATGAAACATATCTTTTGATAATTAAGATTATGGACATTGTGGAATAGTACCTTGCATGAATTTACTGATAGTCAATGTGAAATTTTAAAGCTGGGGCAATCAGTGTGTAAACAATGTGCTACAAATCCAAAGATTTTGTAATAACTTGTTTAGTTAATTACTGTGAATAACACATGAAAGATGTATAACTGGGTAAAAGAACTGTAAGAGCAAACTACTACGAGTTGGAAGCATGTAAATGTTAAAGATATGAAATGTTAAACTTTGTTGTAGCAAGAGTTCTATAGATGTTTATCAGTGGGTTCACAGGAGGGCTACCAGGATTATTCATGGGATGGAAGGGCTATCATACAAGGATAGGTCCTTAAAATTGTTTTATTGTGAGTAAAGAAGGTTTAGAGGGGATCTAATTGAAGTGTTTAAAATTATGAATGGAATAGATTAGTTTAATGCACCATCAATGGACATAGATTTAAGATTTGGCAGGGTAGAAGTCATACACAAATTTGTCAATTTTAGTTTTTGAACAGGGTGGTCAGCCTTTAAGATGGATTGCCTTTAAATGTGGTAGATGCAAAAGGATTGGGAATATTAAAGAGAGGGCTTGGTGAGTATCTGGGGAGTCTGGGCTATAGATAGATGGGTATTTTATGAAATAAATGGAATAGCCATGATGGACCAAGGTATCTCCTTAGAACTTCTGAACAAAAGTAAGATAATTTGCTACCTATATAAATCAAAATATAAAGTAGCTTATAAACTAATGATTCCAATTCTGCACAATAAAATGACTAGAAGAAATTGGTGCTGTATATTAAAATAAAAGAATATAATTATTGGAATGCGGTGAATCATAAGTTGGGTACCCTTCCTTTAACAATATTTTTGACCATAATCCCAATAACAGCTTACAATATTCAGCTATCTTAAGAAATTTAGTTTAGCTCTAAATCCATATACTAATCTAATAGCATGAAATAAAAATGAATATAGAAAAAAAAAATCAAAATTATTTAAGCATCATAACCAATGACATTTATTAAACTAACTGTAAAGAAAACTGGCATAGCTCATTACTTACAAAATACATAAAAAAAAGGAGTTGGCTCTTTAGATCCACACAGGTCGCATCTTACCGATATATAAGTGTGTGAAGTTAAAATAAGACTAAAAAGTTACTTGTCCTGAAAATTATACCAATGTTCTGTCACTGATTCCCTAAGAAAGTAATCATTTTTTCAAATGGTGGGTCACAAACATTTCTCATTTTTAAAATAAACAGAATTCCACCTAAATCCCAGTGACAAGTAAGTTACTTTCATTATTTTAGTAAATTTGTAATATTTTAGCACGGGGTAAAATAGTTTGGTGGATTTGATTTGCAGAAACTGCTGATCAATATTAAATTTGATTAGCAATTAGCAACTATTGCTTAGCATATTTTTAACATTCACCATTTTAACACATTATGACAACTAAATCTAGCACTAAAAGTCTTAAGAGGTAAATGGTACGTTTTTATTCTAATAACATTTTTATTTAGCTTCAAACCCTAATATTTAAATGTACCATACATGGCATTTCATGAATGAAATAGTTTCTGGTATATATAGTAAAACTTCAAAACTGAAACAAATGCCAAACACTTCAGCTGTCACTAAATAGTGCAACAATCGATTAACCAGAGAAGATATTGCAACTGAACAAGGTTGCCACAAATCACTTTTCAAATTAATCTAGTTTCTTTTTTTTTTGTGAGATCTTATCACTTTCTTCACAATGTGGTATCCTTGGCTTTTTGAAAAAGAAAATGTCTAGTGGCTTTTCAGCAGTAATTACCCCTCTCACCTTGGGCATCCTCAACTGTGCATGTCATGAGGTTTTTAGTGTGTTACATTCAAAATTTAATTAAACTACTTTTTGTTCATGTTATACCAATTAGCATTGCAGAAAATTGAAGCTAATAATCCATATTTTAATAGTATACAAGTTTTAAATTATCAATTTTATAATCCAGTATAAAAACAAATCCTGAATTTCCCTAGTGTGAGAAATGTGACATTTTTTCCCCTATGCATTCACTATTCTCTAATTTATTTACCACCCCTCCAAGAAGTATGAAATTTAATGTAAATTGCTCATTATAATATTGTTATCACTCAGGCAAAGCATAATTTTCATAGTTTTCAATTTTGTTTGGTTACAGAGTCATCAAATAGAAAATCAGACCTGTCTTGCCACACCCACCTGTTACATCCTCTCTTTCTGGATTTGTTAATAGTTCTCTATTATACTTAATACTATATTATTTATAACCAATAGAACGCTAATGTTTTCATCTATCAAATGATGTATTTTATTACATTATTACAACGTTAATTTATCTTTCATTACAAGCTTCATTCTCATGGTAAACACATCGACTAGCTTGGATGAATTTGTAACAGCTCCTGTTGCATAGTTAGAATGCCAGATTGTGATAGTTATGGAACATTGTCTGCTTTTTGCATGTCATTATTTTATGTTCTTTGGTGTATTATTTAATTGAATAAAAATTATTTGGTCCACTACCAACATTAATATAAAAAAGCAGGGTTAAGTGCCATCAACAGTTGACAGCAAAAAAAAAAGGCTCAGGTAAGTAATTACTTTATTTCTTGTTTTTCATGTGTTTTCTTTATTTATCACTCTAAATGTAACTAATATGTAAAAATAGGAAACTCTTTAGGTTAGTTAAGGCTATATTATGTAAAAAAAGTAATAATAATAATATTGTTACATCTCTGGTCGTTTGTTAATTTCTGGTATAAATTCTTCCCGAGGAACTTCAGCGATACAAGTCCTTTCTTAAATAAAACTAGTTTATTCTTTCTCAGTACAACTTTGCAATACACAGAATTTCCACAGTCACTTTAACTTAAACAAATGCTATAATTCACAACGATTCATGCACTTTACTTACGGTCACTACTGCTCACTTGACTCAATTGTCTGTCTCTATATCTGTCTATCTGCAATTATATCTCCGCTTTATTTCCCGGGCTTGTATACTAAAATAGAGGACGCCTAGAAAAGACTAGAGTTGTCAGGAACAGTCATGATCCTTCTAGAAACTCATGACATGTTAGTAGCATCACGTGACTTTTGCTGTTGTAACAATATAATATAATTTTTCACGAGCCGCACTCACGAGCAGCTCGGAGTAACTCATGGATAATGTAATTTGATAGCATAACGTGAGCCACACGTTCTCCAAGTAATTTTCAACTTATAATGGTGCCAATAGTAGTTAGACACATTTAAAGGGAAATAAAACAATATGTTTTAAGTACAAATAGATGTATACAGTTACGAATTTAAAGCTGCTTAAAATAAACAAATGTAGTTTCATGTTACAATTTGAAGTCATTCTAGAAAGAAAAAAGGATAATTTTGATTTATTTTGAGTTTGTTTTTTAGTGGTTATGAGGTTGGTTAAATTGACTAATCTTGTATAGAGTTAGGGTAGAGAAAATAACAGATAAAATATAAAGTATTATTGAAAAAAAACATTTTAAATGTATTTAGGAGGTTTTAGAGATTACACAAATGACATTTGAGGTTTTTGAGATGAAGAAAAGTATTTTTAATCTTAACATGAAAAATCAATTTGCCCTCAGACTGGTAAAAAATAGACCCAATATATTCACTGGCAAATCTTTAGCAAAAATACTTCATTAAAAAAATGATTTTATTTTTATAAGTGACTTGTAATGTTTACTAAAAGTCTGCAAATTTTGTGAAGATACATGTACTGTATTAAAAGTTATAGTATTAAAACTATATATATATTTACAATGGTCACATGGTTGGTCCATGGGACCGTACCCATTTTGAGAGAGTTCATAATCAGTTCAATGCTAAATGTGCAATGCATGTGCTGTACGTACATAGTTAGTGTAGTTGGCTAGGCTGCAGGCTCATTTCGAACGTCATGAACACATTAATAACATAAAAACCATAATTTGGAAAAGAGCAAGTTACCTTAGGAGCCTGACTGGCAACAAACAAGGAACTTTGCCAGAAAACATTAAAAATTTAAAGAACATACATAAGACCAGTTGTAGAATATGCTTGTAAAACATGGATACATGTATCAAAAACACACATTCACAAACTACAGCAAATACAAAACTTTATTTTAATGAAAGCTTATAAAGTCTCATGATGAACAAACTCAGAATTTCTATACAACTGTTTAAGCATGCCAATTCTATCAGACAGACTGCTGGATAACTTGCTTCAATATTATAAGAAAAATATTAATAAAAATGAACTGATGAGCAAATTAGAGAGTTACATAATACATGATGAACCAAGCGCTAAATACCTCTCCCCTCTTAAACATCATAAATAAAAATCTTACAGGCTAAATAGTGCAAGGCTAACTGAATGCTAGACACAAATGTAGCTCTATGTTAAGAGGGTTTTGTATTTAAAAATAGGATTATGTGTGTGTGTGTGTATATATATTACTGCTGAGTGAAGCTGTATTGTGAGATCATGTCTAAGTAAAGTTAATGAAAATATAGAAGTTAATACTACCTCCTGAATTGGACATGGCATGAAAAGCATATGTTAATTAAAACTGTGGACAATGAACAAAATGTAACATACTATGAGTAATGCA